GATCTTGGTGCTTCTGCTCTCCATCACAGGCAAGCTTCTTGAAGATGTTTCCCACATACACTATCTTTGCTTCTTTGCAGTCCATTTCAACCCTTTCAACCCAACTATATTTTGTCTTTTGCTCTCATTACCCTACTGAGATTTCTTTTTCTAAGCTTCTTTATGACGTCAGGTTGACGAATCCAGTATGCTTTTTAATCTTTATTTTTACTTGAACTCTTAGAGACAGTCAATAAAGGTGACTGTTGCTTTCTTCTTGAAACATTCTCAGTCTTCTTTAAGGACCCTTCCTCATTCCTGCTCCCCAATGTCTAAGTATTGATTACTCACGATAAATAACAACCAACGCTGTTGTAGCTGTTTGTCGTTAGGATGCTATGAGGCAGTGGAAGCGATATACACTATTTTACCCTCTTTAAACCTTCATTGATTTAAACTCCGCATTGTGCACACAAAACTAATATCGGTTTAAGGACATCGAGCATGGCATTCATGAAACAAGTGTGAGGAAAAATTCCAAAATCAGGTGCACACGAGTAGTTAGCATAGAAATGGGAGCGAATCCATTGAAATTCGAATCAGGGCTGTTTCAGAATCCCAATCATGCAGATTATTTAGAAGTAATTACAGACAATTTAACAGTAAGGATTTCCAGTGTAAGGAGATTTGCCATACTGAGCCCAGACATCAAGTAACCTCTGTCCGTACGGAACTGAGGGCTTGTTTGTGGGGATCAAAGGAACATCACTTTGCTTAATGTATAACTTCGCCTTGAGAATAGTATCTTAACAATTCAGAGGGGCATGAATGGGTGAGGCCAGAACATTAGTACATATCTAACTATTGAATCTCTGAAAATGTAAGAATGAGAGAAACTTCTAACAAAATCCATTTTAAAGAGAGGCAGTAATGTAATGTCCCCCACCTCAATAAAATAGATTATTTGAGGAAAAAAGAGCTTAGATTTTCTGTTTTGCACTTTCAAAGGTAGAGACACACCATTACTCATTTTATAAAATCTCTCTATTCCAAGGTGCTTGGTGTTAGAAAACTCAGAGTAAATATTTTCAAGCTTATTCAGAAAATGTCCTTTTGGATACTTCATTCCAGTGTCTCACAATGTATTGTGGTTAATTAGAGATTGACACACTCACATTCAATGTATTGTGAGATATAACAGCCCCTGTTTAGACTCTGTTCTAAGTCCTAAAGTCATTTAGGGAAAGGTCAATGTTCCTATTCTGTGGAAAAGAGAATTGTGGTGCTTTTAAGTGTCGGCACAATAATCTTTCATCGATGCCAGAGATTGAGTCCCTGAAAAGTACCAAGACCAGCAAAAGTAAAAACAAGATGATAGAAAACAAGGGATTTGGGGGAAAATTATTTTTAAATATAAAAATTTCCAGGAAGCATTCACTTTGGAAACACACCTGCTTTTCCTGGTAAGCTTCCTCCAGAATTACCTTCTCAACGTTAATTATTTTGTAATCTACTACAGAAGAGTTTCTCACAATTTTATACCATGTAGACTATGCTTCTTAGGGAAAATCTTCACCTAGCCCCTATTTGGATTGAAACTGAATGTCTTTTGCAATTACATATCCCCTTACTTTATCTTCTCAGGACTTAAAAAATGCTTCTGGGCTTGTCTGGTCTTTTTACACATGGTGATAGAGCTTATGAATTTCCTTCTCCGGGACTGACATCCTATCAGTACATTGAGGGGTGGATTGTACATAGTTCTCCTTTCCCTCCCCTCTCCCAAAGACCCACCAACCAGGTTTGCACAAACAGCAAGGATTAATTATTGATAAATACTTCTGTTTAAGGATCCTAAAGTGAAAAATACTTTTGTTAAATCATTACATAAATTTAAAATTGTATGGATGTTAATTTGCATTATCTCATGACTGCAGTTGCCAACACATTGATTAATTAGAGATTGACATGCTCACATTCTAATAAATTATAAAATGTCTGATTCACTTCTTCTCAATTGTTCTCTACCCCTCCTTATTTCATCATGAAAGAGACAATCTACAGCAAATCTGGGTTTCACTCAATGTCAGGTATAGGTCACCAGGAAAAAAAAATGAGGCAAAGAACATTTGCCACCTGTCAATGCTCAGTCATGTAAAACCACAAGGATAGGTTCTATACTGTGAGGAGATTGTGTGGGTGAGCAAACACACTGACATGGGAACTTCTTGTTCACATCAAAATGAGTAAGCTGGAATGGGAGTGTTAGTGGGTTTGAAGAGATATGTCAATGTTACTCTTCAAAAAAAAAAAAAAGATGCTGTACTTTTACAAAAATTCTCCTGTCCAAATTATTTCAGTATGTCTTTACAACTGTTACTTTTAAGAGGAAGTAAATTTAAAAATAGGGTAAGTTTATATACGCAGCCTCTGACAATGGAGGTAGCCTAGGTCTTCAGTTGTCATGGGCTTAGTATTCAATGACCCTGAGGTGAGCCCTGTCTATGAGGCTAGAAATCTTATCTGTCTTCTCCATTGTGTCTCCAGGCCTTATCACAGTGCCACCTAACACATATTAGATGCTCTATAAATATTCTTTAATGAATTAATGAATCAATAAACTCTATTATCCACCCAAACTATAGCCTTCCAATCGTCCACCCTGTTGGCCTGACTTACATACCTAGGCTTCTGATTTTACTTTATTCTCCTACTGACACTGTATACCTGCCCTCAACCCTCTCAACTGGGCCTTACCAAATCATCTACCTCTTACCAGCTTTCTCCCCTGGAGGTTGAACCTTGTTTATCATGTATCCCCTTCTAATAAATAGATTCTAATATTCACATCACTTTGAATATCATTCATACTCTACCTCTGTGCCTCCTATGCCTCACCAATACAATTTGAATTCATTGGGTATGGTGTATCTCATTAAGTGTGTGGTGGCTTCATAATGTCTTCCAGGAACGGTTGCCAGAAGAATCCTATTCTTCAAAGCTCTGTCATCTTCTCTTGGAAGTATCTCCAGCAAAGGTAAGTCATTGAGAGATCCATTGTTATTATTATAATACTCATAATAGAAATAATAATAGAACTTACAGTATAAAAAAAAACCTGTTGCCATCAGTTGATTCCAACTAATAATCATAATGGAAATAATAATAGATCTTACAGTATACACAATACAAATTAGTATTTGCAGGGCTTAGAACATGGATCCCAATGAGAGCTGACTCTAGGCAATGTCTGCATTTAGTTTCCTCCTTTGTCTTTCCTTACCCCTTTCTTTTCTTCTAAGTGTTTCTAGGTTCCTGTTCTTGTTCTTGGTTGGCATTCTAGCCAAGGATACTAGCTTTGATACAGTGTCCCATTCTGTAATCTATTCAACTGCCTGGCCTTCAAAATGTTCTGTGTAACATTCTCAAAAGAGCCCTACTAGGAGCCGTGGTGGCACAGTGGTGAAGCACTCAGCTGCGAACCAAAATGCTGGTGATTCAAACCTACCTAGCGGCTCCATGGTAGAAAGACCTTGCAATCTGCTTCTGTAAAGATTACAGCCAAGAAAAACCCTATGTGGGCAGTTCTACTCTGTTACACGGGGCCTCTATGAGTTGGAATTGACTCAATGGCACACGACAACAACAACAAGGTAACTAGTTTAGTAACCTGATAAATGTCAACCATTTATCAAATTCTTGTTATTAAGCTGAGCTGAATAAGGTGCTAATGGGAGAGCTTGACTTCTACGTATCCTAAATGATGTCATATCCTAAATGACACTAGATATGGTTAGAGCTGTCAGAATTTTTCCCCAGAGGTGAGAAATGAAAAAGTGATTATTTGGGCTTGCAGACTGCTTTATATGACTTAAAATCTTTGTTAAAAAATTGATTAGTTGCCAACATTTAAAAATATGAAGATAAAATTCCAGCTCTGGGCTTTTTGTGACACATCAGAAAGTATAGTGACACTGGGTCCTTCATGGCAACTAACAGCAGTGACTGATGAGCAACACTGGTTCCTTGAGAAGTGGAAGCTGTGTCCAGGGTACCAGCGTCCCTGCCTGGGCCATTGTATTTATTTGTATCACCTTTCTGGCCCTTTTAGGATCTAAGTTTGTGACTCTTACTGAACTCACAGAATAATCTAATTGAAAACTCTATTTCATAACCAGCCTGTCATGGGTAAAATCATGGGCAGATGGTTTAAGGTGAACATATGTTGTTGATATGTTTCTCTTATTTTATCAACCACTGTGCCAGCATTTTAAACAATCTAATTATAAGTCATAAACCATAACTGGAGCAGCAATTTATAAGGGGATAATCCAGAGTGTTGTTGAGCTGTTTATTTTTAAATTTCAAGTGAAAGCTATTTTGAGGTTTGATCTGCAGTTCAAGATGTTATTTATCTGACTCAGTAAACGTGAGTTTCAGGCATGTTCCAAACTCCAAGTCTGATATATTCCTGTGGTGTCAAAGTACTAAAAAGGACATTCTGGCATGGGTTTTTTCAGCATAAATTTACAAAAGGAAGCATCTTCCATGAAATGTCACTATGAGTGATACGTTAGAGGTAAGGAGCAGGAGACTTAGAGACTTGTTGATATTGGTGATACCTACCAGCACCTACAAAAATACTCACAACTGGACCAATAAACAACATCATGATAAATGGAGAAAAGATTGAAGTTGTCAACAATTTCATTTTACTTGGATCCGCAAGCACCACCCATGGAAGCAGCAGTCAAGAAATCAAATGACGTATTGCATTAGGCAAATCTGCTGCAAAAGACCTCTTTAAAGTGTTAAAAAGCAAAGATGTCACTTTGAGGACTAAGGCGTATCTGCTTTAGGGCTCTAGGGAGAGGTGGCAGAGCAAATGCCAAGAGAATGTACATTTGAGAACACTCACTGAGACAACTGCCTTCTTGCACAACCAGTAATTCAAACTCTCCCTCAGTGTCCGTGTAACCTGGTGAGTTATTGGCTCAAAATGGTTGCAGAAGACCATGGCAATGGAGATTCCAAGCCTCAATTTAGCATTTCCTACTTGTCATGAGTCAGGATGAATTTAGTTTAATTACGAAGAAATGAATGGACAAAAAACATGGCAATGATAGTAACAGAGAAATAACCAATGTGTAGCATGAGGGTAGTAAGTTACTTTTTCTTCTTGACAAACTCACAGACAAAGTACATGGTGAGATGGCACTCCGTGTCATTCCATCTGCCCGAGCTCAGCATTTCCACACAGTCCTCATGACCATAGGGGTCACTGGGCTCCCCCTCCTTCCAGTTGCTGTAGTTCTGCAGTGGAGTGTTGTCCGTGAAAACATATTGTCCCTCTTTCTCAAGGTCATTCACCCCAATGAACACCCGGAAGAAGCCACTCTTGGCAACATAGTCAGCAATGAGCGTGTTGGCAGCTTCATCCTTTGGCATGGCTAGCATTCCACCCCGGATCCGGCAGTGGGTCAGAGATTCCCTGTAGTTCTTTTCCTCCTGCACAATGTAGTAGAATTTCTCTTCTGTTTCCCTAATCCCTGCTATGACTTTGCAGGGAGGAAAGGAAGGATATGATTATGTATCTCAAAAAAAGGAAAATATATAATATTGCTGGATTTAAAATAACTTAGTCAACATTCAACAATTATTTCGCATGCCCTTACTATGAAGTAGGTACTGGTTTAATTTTTTCTCTACCTTTCTAGTTATCAAATGGAGAACAAACTTCTACCGTTTGTCCTCCCTTCCCTTCTTCCTCAACTTCCAACACAGCTGTCTAGCAGACAGCTATGTTGACAGAGATTTATTCCATGAGCATCCACACAGCACATCTTATTTTATTTTTTTCCATCCTAGTTTGTGCTTTAGTCTTACTTGCAGTCCTATGAACATGTCCTTCTCTCTCCCACCTCTGTGTTTCCATGCATGGAAAGTCTTCTCACTGATTCTCTACCTTGCAAACTCCACTTGTTCTTAAGATCTCAGTGGAAGTGTCACCTCCTATAAGAATCCTTTCCAATCCTCTTGGACAGAAATGGAGGCTCTTGTATACTCTTCCCCTATATCTCCATTGCCCCATCTACTTTCTCCTTTATAGCAATCATCATATTCTAATCTAATCCTTTGCTTCTGCATCTCTCCTAATAAACTGTAAGTGTCTTGAGGAAAATTACTGTGTCTTTTCCACACTGTAACCTCAGTTACTGGAACATTGCAGGGAATGATAAAAGCTTATTGAACTGATATGTGAAGAATATAGAACTTTGTCCACTTTGGGCCCAACTCCTGCCTATAAATATACACATAGATTGAGATTGTCTACACATCCTCCCAGGTACACGAGAGAGACTGAACTCCTAAGTAAGCTTCACGACAGAACTGGGGACTCACAATCATCCTGAACTCAGGATATGAGATCTATGTATTGGGTTTCACGTCCTTTATATAGACATTTTATGGTCCATAACTTTAATTAAACTCACAAAGAAATCTGGGGCCACTAAAATGTTAAGAACTATTGTTCTATGTTAAACCTTTGAGGTCTGATTATTCATGACAGTCCAAGTCATTTTGAAGAAGGCATCTTTGACATTGGCCAGAACTAGAGCTATAATTAGGGAGTTAATTAACATCAAGCATTTCCTGTGCCTCTTGTATTACAAGATGATGATGAACACGAGATGGCATCTGTGTCCTTCCAATAATGAACAACAAATGTAGCTGGATTACAGGACATGAAAATACAACAGAATGAAACCAATTGTAACAGTAACTACAATAGCCCCTTCATTCCTACTGTCCCAGAAGAAAACACAAAAGCTCTTTCAACTTTAAAGCTTTTGCTGCTATCTATTATGGGAAAATGGGCTAGGAATAACGGTGACTAATACAGGGGAGTTGCAAAACTTCGAAAAACACGTAAAGTTCCCACTGATATGTATTGTGGACAGAAAAGTCAGAGAAACTTGTATTCTAATCCCTGCTCCACTGCTCATTAGCTCCACATCTGGGCAAGTTAGTCTCTCTGAGCTTCAATTTAATCATAGCACCTATATCATAAGAATTACAGTTGATTCTTGTTATTCATAGTAGATACGTTCTATAAAGTCGCCACAGACACTGACTTAGCAAACACTGAATCATTGCTCCTAGAGGAAATTTAGAGTTAGGTTCCTGCAAGACTCTGGTTATGATATTTTTTTGTCAATTGATCAATATGTAACTTTGTTTTTTGTGTGTATCTGTTTAAAAACACGTTATTTAACATATACTGTTGATTCGTTAACATTGAACTCATGGCCAACAGCATTATAATTCATGTCTGGATGAAGTTTATCTAGCACACACATTTTCTCTGCATGGCGTATCACAACCTTCTTGCACTTAGGAATACCAAACAGCACTTCAACATTATACTTTGGGGCCATTTTGAAAAAGCAAAACCACCAACAAAAAACACAAAAATGTGAAAAATGCGAAGAGCAACAAAAAGCACTAAACAGACTGTGGAAAGGACAATTGTCTATAGCATGAGAGCTGAAATGAGAAGGCTGAATGTCTCCTTGTTCAGCTAGGAATGTATGCGTTGGGTAACTCATATTTTCTGCCCTCTGTGCATGTCTGCAAATGGTCATCAAAGTATCTTGAGTATTGATTTTGGGGTTACAAATAAATTTTAGTGAGGAGATGAAGTCACAAATACAAAATATGTGAATAATGAGGATTGACTGTATTAGCAGATTTGGTGAGATGGTGCTACGAGTCGTGCACTATTCTAAATGCTTAAGAAATTAGCTGTGTTATTACTACTTCGTCTTCTGAAATGCTAGCTCTGTAAGACTCTTGCTGTCCGTTTTCATTCTTAAGGGACAGCTCACCAAACTTTGCCCTTTTCTCCATTCGCCTCTTTCTGGCAACGCACAATTAAAAAAAAGAACAACAAAAAAAACCAAACCCATTGCTGTCAAGCAGATTCCAACTCATAGCAACTCTGTAGAACAGAGTAGAACTGCCCCATAGGGTTTCCAAGGCTGTAAGTCTTTACAGAAGCAGACTGTCACATCTTTCTCCTGCAGAGCAGCTGGTGGGTTCAAACTGCCGATCTTTTGGTTAGCAGCCTAGCACTTAACCACTGTGCCACCAGTGCTTCTTTGCACATATAATAGTACACACTAAATCACGGCCCCTAAGTGTCTGGAGTATAAGTGGATAATTAGCATTTTGAGAAAACCTCTAACTGGTGACAAAATCTCAACAGTTTTTGCCCAACCCAAGGTATTTCTTGCGAAGGATGCTGGAGATCTAGTGTTAAAAGACACAAAAGAGATAGATGTTAATATATAGCACACAGGAAAATAAAATGTGCTCACCATTCTTGACGAACTTCATAGATGTCTTTAGTCTAGCAACACTAATATCTAGTTGCCCAACAACTTTTCGGTATCTTCCACAGTCACAGACAGTACCTTTTAAGTGATAAAAACTGTGGATTTATGATGAAATACATGTAGACCACCTAAAAAGAGCATTTGCTTTCTTCTAAATACTTACTGTCTTTTTCTAGTCTTGTTATGGCTGTCTATGAGTGGCTATAGTTTTTATTTTTTATTTGAAACACGGTTTCCAATTTACATTTTCTTTAGGAATTCAGAAAATATCTTCTTAAATATTTTGAGTGAGTTAAAAGACAGTTCTAAATCATACTTTTAAAAAGAAGAGTAACTATGACCAACCACTGTATGTACATTATAGACCATTTAGCGTTTTTGTTGAACACAGAATTTGTCTGTCCAATCTCAGAATAAAATCTTTACAGTTTTCTTAAAACATATTTCTAGCCAGTCTTCTCTTCTGTTACTGCTTTGTTCATTGCTTTACACAACTCTCCCAAGATGGAGAAACCTGACATGGTTTAAATCAAATGCTAATTCTGATTATCCATGAGAAGTATGATTTGCATGGTTCAAGGGCTAAGTTCAAATTCTATGAGTAGATCCAATCTACAATTTCAATAGCTATTTGTCCAGTTTCTGGATTAACTAGGTTGTTAATTCACTCTATTCCCCTTTGCTTACCTGCCTTTTCAACTACCCCCTGGCATTGATGTGACTGAAAAGGAACTATAAGGAAGATGACATGAAATCCAGATGACCCTCTCTTTTTCTATTGAATGGCTGCTTTATGCAAATACTTCTGTTTGCTTTTCTTGTTGGTAGTGTGAAAAGTGAAAAGAATTTCATTAGCCAATAAATAAACAAATCTATGGCTTTATTTATCCATAACCACCAACCAGTTGTCATCGAGTCGATTCTGACTCATGGCGACCCCATGTGTGTCAGAGTAGAACTGTGCTCTATAGGGTTTTTGATGGCTGATTTTTTGGGAAGTAGATCACCAGGCCTTTCTTCCAAGGCACCTCTGGGTGCTCTCGAACCTCTAACCTTTCTGTTAGCAGCTGAGCGCATTGACCATTTGTACCACCCAAGGACTCCTAATTTATTTATAACCGCGGGTTACATATAAGGAATTTAAAACAGTCCTTAGAATTAATCTCCACTCCACCTCAACAGATTGAAACAACTGAAAGTACCTGAGAACAATCTGCCTCTTTCCCTGCATCCACCACTGGAGATAAAATTCTCTTTCAGGAAATAAAACTCTCTTTCAGTATTCAGGGAGAATCTCCCTGGCCATTAAAAGCATGTTCTGTGACCACGAGGGACTTTCTGGATCTGGCCAGTCTGCTGCTGGCAAACTGCTGGCCAGTATTTGGTTGAGGTGCTAGTAGAATGCGAAGCGTGCTGATGCAGGCCCTATGGCTGGGGCCCTCATGCACTTTCTCTTGGTCCAGAAGAATGAGGGCTACTCCCTAATGTACTTGGATTTGCTTCCTCACAGGAAGCATGATGGGACAGAACGTGCAATCATCCCATTTCCCAGGGCTTGGAAAGTCACCAGCGGATAGAGAGGAAAGTTCCCATCTTCCCTTTGGGTTAGTAAACTAGCCTGAGGGAAGTAAGATTAAGCATACTGAGAGGATTCTTGTTTTTACTTAAATACATATACGTAGTACCAGTTGTGGTCGAGAGTTGACTCCCACACATGGTGACCCCATGTGTGTCAGAGTAGAACTGTGCTTCATAGGATTTTCAATGGCTGATTTTTTCAGAAGCAAATTTCCAGGCTTTTCTTCCAAGGCATCTCTGGGTAGACTCGAACCTGCAACCTTTTGGCTAGAAGTTAAGCACACTAACAGCTGGCACCACCTAGGGACTCCTAAATATGCATGTATATCACTGCTTACTTTGGAGATGAATACATTTGGAATAATGCTAGAAATCAAAGAGAAAAATAGGTATATCATACCTGCTTTGCCCTTTCCTCCAGGTATCCCAGGCAAACCCTTTTCCCCTTTGTCACCTGAATAAAGACAATAGCAGCAAAAAGAACAAATAAGATGGTAAATTATTTCAGGGAGACAATATCTTATGCATTTACAATCAGGGGAAACAGTTCTTAAGTTTCATGAGAAATATCTCCAACTAATATCCCTTGGCTTTATATAAATAATTTGATTTGAGTTGGCTGCAGAGGTATAACTAATCGAACAATTCATTATAATTTATTTATATACAATGTAGAATTCTAGCAGAATATGTAAGGAACATTTGATTTGTGTTACCTATCCTTGTTGTTAGGAGCCTTATGGCACGGTGATGAAGCGTTCGGCCGCTAACCCAAAGGTTGGCGGATGGAAACCACCAGCTGCTTTGCAGTAGAAAGATGTGGCAATCTGTTTCCGTAAAGCTTACAGCCTTGGAAACCCTATGAGACACTTCTACTCGTCCTATAGGATCACCATAAGTTGGAATCGACTTGATGACCACAAGTTTTGTTTTGTTTTGTTATCCTTCTTGTTGTTTGCCATCAAGTCGATTTCAACTCACAGTGGCCCTATAGGACAGAGTAGAACTACTCCATAGGGTTCCTAGGCTGCAATCTTTACAGGAGCAGACGGCCAGGTCTTTTCTCCTGCGGAGTGGCTGGTGGTTCAAATCGCTGTCCTTTTGGTTAGTAGCCTAGCACTTAACCGCTACACTATCAGGGATCCTTGTTACCTATCCTACTAACATGTTTTCATAATGTGGCCTTCTGAACAAGGTTAACCCAATTCTCAGCCATGTTTTTAATTTTAAAGTTACCTTTGTCTTGCAAATCTGGATCAACTGATTAGCACATTACAATGTCTGTGTATTTATTACACTCCAAGTTATTCCATGTGCCTTTGTCCTTGGATTTTCAAAAACATGTATTGTGCTTTTTCAATTTAATTCAATAAATATTTACTATTTGCTTACTCTACGCAAGACAAATGGCTAGCTACTTTGAGAGGATATAAAGAGAGACAAGTTTAAGTTTCTGACTTGACGTTTATAATTTTTAGAAGAGATGTGATGTATACAAATACCTATAATATGACAGTATCAAATACATTATACCGAAATATCAACCTTTGTAATTCTCCTTTCTGCTCTTTCTTGTATGTGACCGTTTTCTTACTCAGTCAGAGGCATTCACAAAATAATTATAGGAGAATTATGATTGTTAAAGCAGAGGGAAAGAAAAAAATGATGAATTTTTCTTTTTTTTTTACTTCAAATAAGTTTTTGAAGCTCACATTAGACAAAGTAATTGAAAGCAAAAGCTTTTGATTTACAAAAGGACAAGTTTGGCTGAGGTTCTGGAGAATCAAAAGGGAATACCCTGATGGAAATAAAATAGAATTCATGCTTCAATGGTGATCTGGAAAAAGAATAAGAAAAAAAACTCATGAGGGCTGAATACAGGATAAATGTCACCTAACCTAGAAAGAGGTATGGGGCTTACCCTTGATGGAGGTTAGTGCAGCCAGGGAGTTGAGGGTAAGACCTGAGGGGACCACGTGAAGGAGGATGGAGTCGGAACTGAGGTTCTGCCTAGCCCTATCCTACACCAGCAACAGGGAAAAAGTGGGAGCCACTCTAAAGCTCGTAGGGTGCCCTGTGTTGCCCGCACTGAGGAGACCCATTAGCTATTTTTCTCATCACTGCCCGCTGAGTGCTGTCAGTCAACCAAAAGAAGGCATGCCTGCGAGGGCTCCGAAGATTTGCTGAGTCTTTCTAAACTGACCTATGCAGACACCTTTCTTTACAGTGATGCCAGACATTCATGAGCTCCCTACAAAAAGGAGAGGGTCCTTGAAATCCAGAATGCAGTTTAAGTGTGCATGGGGAAGCCCCAGAACTTGCACTTGGATAGAACAAGACAATGGTGAAACATGACAATAGAATGTGATAAATGTTGTGAGAACAGAGAGAACATACTCTGGGAGGGAGGCAGAAGAGATAGTGTTTCAGCTGGGGAAATGAATGAAGACTTCCCTGTGGTTCTCCAGTGAAGACAGAATTTGAACTTGGCCATGAAAATCTTCAGCAGGTGAAGATAGGCACAAGATAGCAGATGATGAATAGGCAGAGGGAAGAGCTGGAAAGAAACATGGAAATATGTCGAGTACCTAGCTGAGGAATATTGATCTTCTCACATTTTGGTTGTGTCCTTTAACATCTTCAATGCCCTCATGTGCAGATTGGAAAAGATAAGAACAAATTCTGGGAATATGTTAAAAGCAGAAAGGAACTATATATTTGCTGAATGCTGATTATGTGCCAAGTACCATTCTGGATACTTTATACATATTATCATATTAAATCCTATGTGCTAAGTAGCATCAGGAACTTATTTAAGCACATCCAGCAATTAAATGGCAATGCTGGTATGCAGACCCAACCATCTCTGACTCCCCAGTTCATGGTGCATCCCAGATGAGTCATTCAATGATTTAATGAAGGAAAACAAAGTGTTTGGAAAATATTATCAAAAATCCAAAGTAATACCAATCCTTACCACCACTAAAAACAATATGGACTTACAAGATCATTTGAACATGAGTATAATATTTTAATTTAAAAAATAGTTTATTTTCTTTATATTTTAAGTTAGTTAAACATGGACTGAAAGCTTATTCTACTATGATTCAAGTTCTGGGCTAAGCTCAAAGATGGACATAAAACAAGCATCAGTAGAGTATTTCCCCTGGAGAAATGATGAGCTTATTAGAAAAATAAAACTCACATAAGGGGCCAAGGAGATGGGACACTATTGTATTATACTAACAGAGTAAAATAAATAAAATACCTGGTAAACATTCAGAGAGGGGAAAGATGGTTATGGATCATGGTAGAGATTCATGGGAGAGCTGACCTTCCATCTGGGGCTTAACGGCGTGAGAAAGAATTTCTTGATTTATATGGGGCTTTTCTTCTGAGGAGATGTAAGCACTCTGGCTACTTTTCAGCATTTTGAGATGAATTCCTTTCTTTTTTTTGACAAATGGGAAAGCCAAAGCAGTACAGTGGGATGAACAATCACGGAAGTCAGCAAAACCACAGTTTGAATTCTGGCTCTCCCACTTACTAGCTAAACTTAGACAAGTTCCTTAATTTCTGTAGGCTTCTGTTTTTTCATTTGCATTCACCCCTCAACGTTCACAATATGTTCTGTGAAGTAGGACGTTATGTCTTTTGGACGTTGTGCAAACACATATTATATACAATATTGCCTCCTAACAGCATTGTCACTCTGTCTCTCTGTCTTTAAAACCTTAAAGACTGGCATTGACTTGGTGTCCTTATGGATGAAGGTCCTTTCAGGCATTTGCTTCCAGAATAAAGTTTCATCCATATTAAAAACTTGCTAGGGCAAATAACCTCCCTCTACAGTTAGTTAATCTAAAGTTTCAACAAATTCTTCTGCTGCCTTCACATCAACACTTGCAGACTCACCACTCACTTTCACATTATACGGTGAAAAATTTTTGAAGCACTTGAACCACCCAGAGCTAGCACTAAACTGGGTATCACAGTCTGGAAGCTTCGTGGCTTAGCAGTGATTGCTGAGAGGGATACGCTTTTGTGTTTGGTCCTCAATCCACGTCATTTGCAATCTCTCCATATCTGATACAGGTCCCTCTTTCATTTTTGTTAGCCTTGTAGCTTTCGGTAGAGCTGATCCTTTTAACAGCTTGGAGAATATTTTTTGCTTGTTTTTGACGCTTGTTGGGGTTGTCAAATGCCACATGCCTAAATCGTGAGCAACAGCATTCACTGATTTTTCAGCTTCGTGTTGTTTAATAACCTTTTGTTTCACTTCCAGATCCATACTTCTCCTTTGCCTCTTGCTGCTGTTACCACTAGCACTGGTTTCGCTGCCTTTAGGAGCCATGATGTGCTTCACAATAATATTTTCAAAAGAAAATTTAACAGAGATACTGCTACAACACTGAAGAGATTGGTGATACACGAGATTGGATGCTGCTGCCCATGAGTTGAAGCATACACTTTTATATGGTAAACTTTTTATTTGTAAGTAGGGAAAGTTCACATTAAAATAATGATAGAAAGTACAATACAGTACATACATAAGCCACTAACATAGGTGTTTATTATGACTATCAAGACATATGTATCATAGGTTATATGTTTATTGTACCATTATACTCCTGGCAGCGCAATCACTTTGTATACAAGAGACATGTGATACACGTGTTGCCTGTGGGAAGCAGTTGTGTTTGATACATCCAGTTACCTCCACTACATCCTATTCTCCCATCGGGATTTCTGAACTCTATTATAACCTTCAGAGCCCTGGTAGCACAGTGGTTAAGTGTTCAGCTGCTACCCAAAGGGTCAGCAGTTTAAATCCACCAGCCGCTCCTTAGAAACCCTAAGGGGCAGTTCTACTCTGGTCAGAATTGAGTCAGTGGCAATGGGTTTTGTTTTTTTTTTCATAACCTTATGGGACCACAGACATATATTTGATCAGACATTGCCCAAATGGATGCTATGCGGCACATGAATGTAATAGTATCTAAAATCATAAAATCAATAAGGAGGATAAATCAGATAATGTCATCTTTTCAAGGGATTAGTGCAGTGCTCCACTGGTAGAGGATGCTCAACCAGTGCTAGCTTCTGCTCCCTAAATCAGGGTTACCGTAAGGGAATTCATACAAATCACTTAGCCAGTACATGGAAAGTGTGAGCTCAGAATACCTGTTTCTTGGAAACCAATTCTGGTTTAAAGTCATCCACAAAAACTTATTTTGGCACATGAGTGGGAACATGCCAGTAATAACCGTCTTAAGGTTGAGGGATTAGAGCGTGTGTTCAAACAAACAAATAAAAAATCATAATGCTTTCAATGTAAAACGATTATTGACCTTAAGTAAAAACATTTCTTTTGCTATGAGATTGAATTTGCCTATACTAAATCATTCTTCTTTCTTATTCCTGAAATGAAATATTGACATCCAGAAAGCTACTTTATCCATGCAAGTGACAACAGAAGGTCAGCCCAGAAAGTTGAGATTAATCTGAATCGATGAAAAATTTAGAAAGGCTATTGACAAAATGAGGACAATACATTTCAAAGTACAGATTAAAAACGAAAACTAATCCAGGTGAGCCAGAACATTGTGCCTCCATTTTTTAAAAATTTCCATGACATGCTCGCAAATTTTGTTGGCGCATCTCTGGAGAAGGAAATCTTAGTAGCCAATGCTAAAAATCGATATTAAAGAAAAGTGGTATTTATAGGAATAAAGAGTCGGGAAGAGGTCCATATTGTAGAAAATGATGTGTTCGATCATTCATTCATTCATTCACCCTTACTTCAACAAACTTTTCAAAGTTTCTATTATAAAATAGGTATTTAGGATAAAATGAGTAAAAAGACAGGGTCCTTGTATAAAGTTTATATTTATTTAAGCAAATAGACCCAGTAAATCTTTCACTTATTTGTTCCCTCCAGATGTTCACAGTCTATAGGGGAAACAGACAAGCTCATTGGCCATGACAATGAGTAAAATGATAGATGTCTGCACTAGATGCTGGCGTAGATGATGCTTGACCTGAGCCTTGAAGGATGAGTTGGCCTGAAGGAGGTAAGGACAGTTAACCCTGGTGTTAGGTTTTCCACATGTCTGGAAGTTCATCCACTTTAAGCTCAGGCAATCTTAGTAAAAACTCTTGATCTTTCCTTGACTCTGTCATCTACCACTCTCCCAGTGACCTTTTCTTTTTTTAATTAAAATATTTTATTGTGTTTTTGGTGAAAGTTTACACAGCAAATCAGGCTCCCATTTGACAACTTCTGCACAATTTGTTCAGTGATATTGGTTACATTTTTCACAGTATGTCTACTTTCTCATTATTTGCTTTCTGGTTGTTCCATTTCCTATAATCTAGGTTCCCTGCCCCTTTGCCTTATCATCTTTGCTTTTGAGTAAATGTTGACCATTTGGTCTTATATAGATGATTTTTTAGAGTACAGTACTCACAGATGATATTGTTTATTTTATGAGCCAATCTGTTATTTAGCTAAAAGATGACCTCATGGAATAGTTTTGGTTCAAGGTTTAAAGAGTATCTCAGGGTGATAGTCTTGGGGAGTCTTCCAGTCTCAATGGGTCCAGTGACCTACTCTTATTTTAAGAAAGGATTAAGACTTAGTTCATGATCATTAACTCTACCTCTTCCAAGTGGAGTCCCAGCTAGGCTTGGCACCCTCAAATCTATGAAAGTGAAACATCTAGAATGAATCAATGAAATGAAGTTCTTCTGTTCTGGACTTGTTCATGGCAGTGACTTACACTCCTCTTCCACTTCTTCTTATCTCTACAGTAATACCAGGAATCTTAACATCATCTAACATGGCTTCATTTCAGAAATCTGAAACTGCCAACATCCCACTTTCTGGCTACACTTTCCATCCCTTTAACCAATTGTTAAATGAAGCTGATATAGCCAGAGGCAGATTCATGATGTGTTTGCTCTAAAGCTTATACAATTTGTAGGGCCCTCTTTAAAAAAATAAGATAAAATTACAAATGGAAAATTCATTATTAAAATGAATATTTATGTTCTGGGACAACTGGATCTTCACATGTAAAAGAATGAATTTGGACGCATACCTATACCATAGATGAAAATTAACAACAACAACAAAAAAGCATGTAAAGGGATGCTCATCATCATTCATCTTTAAGGAAATATAAATCAAAACCACAAAGAGATACCACTTCACCCCCAATGGCCACCATGAGTCAGAATCAACTTGATGCCAATGGGTAGGATGGGTAGTATCAGAGAAATGAAAACTAATAAGTGTTGGCGAGGTTGTAGAGAAATTGAAACACTTATCCACTGCTGGTGGGAATGTAAAATCGTGTAGCCAGTTTCTCAAAAAATTAAACAAAGAGTTATCACACAACAAAACAAAAACAAAAAAACAGTTGCCTTCTAGTTAACTCTGATTCTGACTCATGGTGACCCCATGTAGATCACCAGACTTTCTTCCACAGAATTGCCATATGACCCAGCAATTCCACAGTGAGGTATATACCCAAAAGACTTGAATACAGGGACTCAGATACTTGTACGTCAGTGTTCATTGTTGCAGCATCATTTACAATAGCAAAAAGGTGGAAACAATCCAAGTGTCCATCAACAGATGAATGGATAAAGAATGTGGCACATATACACAATGAAATATTATTCAGCTGTAAAGAGAAATGAAGCTCTGATACTTGCTACGATATGGATGAACTTTAAAAATATTATGGTAAGTGAAATAAGTTAGACTCAAAAATTAGACTCAAAATGGTTCCACCTATATGAAGTATCTAGAACAAGAAATGCATACAGACAAAGTTTATTAGTGGGTATCAGGGGCTGGGGAGGGAGAAATGATGAATTACTGTTTAAGGTGTACTGGGTTTCTGTTTGGGGTGATACTTTTTTTTTCCAAAATGGTTAGTGGTGATGATTGCACAGCATGGCTAATGTGATTAAAATGTCACTGAATTGTATACTTAAGACTGTTTGACACTTCGAGGGACAGAGTAGCAGGGGCGGGGGTCTGGGGGCCATATTTCAGGGGACAGCTAGGTCAATTGGGATAACAAAGTTCATTAAGAAAATGTTCTGCATCCCACTTTGGTGAGTGGTACCTGGGGTTTTAAAAGCTAGTGAGCAGCCATCTAAGATGCATCAATTGGTCCAACCCACTTGGAGTAAAGGAGAATGAAGAACACGATGGACCAAAGGAAAGTATTAGCCCAACAGACAGAAAGGGCCACATAAACCAGAGATTTCATCAGCCTGAGACTAGAAGAACTAGATGGTGCCCGGCTACCACTATGACTGCCCTGACAGGGAACACAACAGACAGTCCCTGATGGAGCAGGACAAAGTAGGGTGCAGAACTCAAATTCTAGTAAAAAAAACAGACTTAATGGTTTGATTGAGACTGGAGGGACCCTGGAAGACATGGTCCCTGGACTCTCTCTTAGCCCAAAACTAAAACCATTCCTGAGGCCAACTCTTCAGACAAAGCTTAGAGACTGGAGTATGGGACATAAAATGATAACTTGTGAAGAGTGTGCTTCTTAGCTCAGGTAGATACATGAGACTAAATGGGCAGCTCCTGTCCAGAGGCAAGATAAGAAGGCAGAGAGGGTCAGGAGCTGGTTGAATGGACATGGGAAATGTGGGGTAGAAAGGAAGAGTGTGCTCTCACAGTACAGGGGGAGCAACTAAGGTCACAAAACAATGTAGGTATACATTTTTGTATGAGAGACTAACTTGAATTGTAAACTTTCACTTAAAGTACAACAATAAAAAAAGACTGAAACAGCAAATATTTTGTGATATATATTTTAACACAATTAAAAATGAAGTTATTATGAGAAAAGAAATAAAAATGAATCAGTAAATGTTAAAAGCAGACAAATACTACATCATAAAATTCAATTTAAAAATCATAACATTTTAATTCAATTTCCCATGTTACTGAGCTCCTCCATCCATATCTTTGCACAAGTATCTCCTGTGCATAAGTATCATCTCCCTAAAATGCCTCTTCCCCATTTCCATACAGTTTTTATTCTTCAAGACCTATGTTAGTTCTTCCTAGATTGACCTATATCAGTTTTGCCTCATGCTCCCATCCAGAAACAATCTTTCTTTTCTGATCTTCATAGCATTTGATATTTTTATATGGTTCCTATAGTAATTGTGTTACTCTGTAGGATCATTCCTTTGGAGGAAGTCCTGTCTTCCTAGATAGTCTCTGAGTTCCTTGCAACAAAATTTTGACTCTCATTCAGCTTTGTATCTCCAAACCAAGTGAGACAATGCCTGTATGAATTAGCGAACATCAGAAGCAAGCAATTATGCTACCATTACAGGGCTTTATGAGACAAGGGTAGGGAAGGAGTGCTTAGATACTGAAGAGAAGGCTACCTATTTTTATAGTGTTGACTTTGTAATTGTATAAAGGATTGGGACACGCTTGAAGACAAAAGAATATGTACACATATACTTCAAGTTCCTTATGCTGTTAATAGACCACACATGCAGAATTATTAGTTACTCCACTCAAATTAAGAAAGAAAGTTATATGGTGCTCTGTCTACTTCAGGTTTTATGGATAGTTGCTTTCCACTACTGAACATGCCTCATGGTCTATAAGACTCATTTTGATTGTCTCAAGGATAGGTAGCCAACCAGCAGACAATTAAATATAGACACTAATAGGATTTTATGCTGGATTCTATCCCTTATTCATGTGTAATTTTGCTGAAAGCTTTTATTTTTGATCTGTGAGACACAGTGCTTATATACGGAAGAAATAGTCAAGATACAAAGAAAGAGAGAAATCATATTTTAAAAGAAAGAAAGAATCTTTTGTGATTAAAAATGTAAGTGTCTGCTCAGTTTACTTTAAATTGATCCTGGAGAATAGTAATATGCAGCTTACCCTTCTTGCCAATTGGTCCAGTCTTGCCAATATTGCCCTGGTCTCCTATATCACCCAGTTCTCCTTTAATTCCTGAAAAGCAAAGCATGCCATCTTTATATCCTGTGTGTGTGTGTGTGTGTGTGTGTGTTTTCCCCCTTCTTTCTTAAAGGTATGGCTAATATATAATATTCACTTGAAGAAAATACCAGGAAGTGTATTCTGCTACCTGTGACGTATATTATATCCTGTGATAAATGACCTACTTTAATGAAATTATAATATATGCATTAAAATTAAAATGTGAGTAAGTATGACCATCATGGACATGATGACACTAAAACACTTACTGACGTAGCATTTCTAGAATGACAACAGCAGAGGACATTTAATCTAGAGGTCAGATGAGGGGGGTGTGTGGAAGGATTCTTGTGCTGTACTCTGGTTCTACTCATCTCCATGTTCATTCTGGCTTCACTTTGGGATTCTATTTCCTCTCTATTTTAAAACAAGTTTTGATGATGTTACTCATTGGTAAACGGGAGTTGGGGGGAGGGGGAATAGACAATCATGAAACCTAGTGATTAAAGAGACATCAGCGATCAGACCACTCCGTTATTCTCCCAAGATACAAGTGCAGATCAGTGAGTTCCTCCAAAATTGTTATTAATTTTGTCTGTTTTCTAAGATGATCTAGAAAACTTTTACCAGTTACAAAGCTATATTTTAGTGAGAATAATTCTGTAATCGATATATATGTTTATAGAACAAGAAAAGTTTAAGTTTCGGCATCTTTCAAATTGAGGTCTCAAGAGTCTGTGAGTCCTTTCTTCCCTCTAAAATGCTCAAGATTTTAAAATAGTGGTCCAGTGCAATCACCTGGTAGCAGTTGGCAGGGATCTTTCAAGTGTTTCAATGACACACACTTACACATCAAAATCCAGAAACTATGTTTTGGTGAGGTTACTCTTGGCTCTGTGAGTAAAACATTCCCAAACAGCCTTTGTTTCTTTCTCATCTCCTTTGCGCCTACTCCCCCAATAGCCCATCATTTACCCCACTGTATTACTCCTCTGTATAAGGAAAGGGAGTTAAAGAAATAAAAGGATCTTGGGGAAAGGTGAGGAAAATCAATGGATCTGGGTACTATTTCTGTTCCTTTTTAATTTCCTCCTTAAGCTCTGGGCCAGCCAAAAAAGAGTTGCTAAGCCTTGGCTTTTGAAGGGAGACACAGCTATAAACACAGCAGTGTGTCTAAAACTCACAGTGTTTTTAGACATTCCCAGAGACTGCTATTCCCTGGGTGCCCAGAGTATCCCACCCTAGCCAGCACTAAGGATGCAGCTGGAGAAATGAGTCCAAGTCCTGTTGACAGGTCTCATAGGAGCTCCCGGGTGGTAAATTAATTCGTGTCTGTAACATATTTCATGCATCTCTGGGGCAGAGGGTTTTATGAAAGCTGCTAATCTCCTGTACAAAGGTCAGGAGAGAGAGACAAGCAATTCTGATGTTATGGTGTAAATTTCATCTCATTTTACTTACCCTTTGGTCCCATGTGTCCCAGCTTGCCAAGCTTTCCCTCCTCTCCTGGATCTCCTCTTTCACCATCATCTCCTTTTGAAACAAAAAATGAGGGAGAGTGAAGCAGCTCAAATATTAACAGAAGTACATACTCCCCAGGGTGTGGTGAATGTGGTGGAATGCATGACCCAGCTCAGTCCCTGCCTTCCAAATCAGCTGTGAGTCTGTATGTATATAGGTTTGTGTGGACTAGATCTCAGTTACAAAGAAGTTTCCAGCATATTTTCTCTTTTACTTCTCTCCTCATTCAACTCTATATTCAAAGAAATATCCTTGGTGGTTGTTATGGATTGAATTGCATCCCCAAAAATGTGTGTCAGCTTGGCTAGGTTGTGATTCCCAATATTGGGTGATTGTCCACCATTTTGTGATCTGATAGGATTTTCCTTTGTGTTGTAAATCCTACATTGATGATGTTAATGAGGCGGATTACAGGCAGTTATGTTAATGAGGCAGGACTCAATCTACATGTTTTTAACTATAAAAGAAAGAAGGGAGCAGACAGATAGGTGGACCTCATACCACCAAGAAAGTAGAGCCAGGAGAGTAGGTCCTTTGGACCCAGGGTCCCTGTGCTGAAAATCTCCTAGACCAGGGGAAGATTGATGACAAGGACCTTCCCCTAGTTGAAGGTCTCTGTCAGCCGACAGAGAGAGAAAGCCTTCCCCTGGAGCTGGCACCTTAAATTCAGACTTCTAGCCTCCTAGACTGTGAGAAGATAAATTTCTCTTTGTTAAAGCCATCCACCTGTGGTATTTCTGTTATAGCAGCACTAGATAACCAAGACAGTGATGAAATTGAAGTTTGTTTAGTTAGACAAATCTTTATTCTTGCTAGAGAATCTGCAATGTTTTGGGAACATCATGTACGTAAAAAATATAAATATATATCTACCACCAGTCTGTCAGTTTGTCATACTGTGGTGGCTTGCATGTTGCTATGATACTGGAAGCTATACCAGTGGTATTTCAAATACCAGCAGGGTCATCCGTGGTGGACAGGTATCAGTATACTTTTCAGACTAAGACAGACTAGGAAAAAAGTCCTGGTGATCTACTTCTAAAAATTAGTCCATGAAAATTCTGCAGCTCAGAATATTGTCTGGTAGAGTACTGGAAGATGAGCCCCTAGATTGGAGGGCACTCAAAATACATAGTGGCATCAACAATGGACTTGAGCATACCAGGGATCATGAAGCTGGCATAGTACTGGGCAACATTTCATTCTGTTGTACATGGGTTGCCATAGGTCAGAGCCAACTCAATGGCAACTAACAACAACAAATATGTATGTGTAATTATTAGTCCCTGACCGTATGCTTGGAAACCCCAAAATAGTAGCCGCAGATGTGGCAGCTATTAACAGGAGACTAGGAATGGTGGAGACCACTTGACTGTACCTAACAACAACAACAGGAATGGGGAACAACTGCAAAGCAGTTCTGTGTACACAGTGGCTTACTCATAGGCAGTTCTAGCTCCTGCACCTCACATAATGATGAATGAATGAATGGATGATTTAATGAAAGGTACCCTGGACTGTGAACCAGGAGTCTTGGATTTTAATGTCTTCTGAACCGCAGATGGGTTGAACAAGTCTACAGTAGATCAGTGATTGAGGTTATTGGCTTTGGAGTAAAATAGATCTGGATTTATGTTCCAGCTCCACCTCTCAGTAGCAGGAGAAGCTTGGATACTTTAGCTCTCCTTCTGAGTCTCATTTTCCTCTCCTGTCAAATGGAGGTAATAACACCGACAGCAGAGGGCTTTAAGAAGATTAAACAAGATAATAGGAATAAAAGACCTGTCACATAATCAGTGCTCAGCAATGGTGACTGTTGTTATTCTTTTCTGTATGTTTCAGTTTCCTCACCTTTAAAGAAGGGCTAACGCCTGCCCTCCCTACCTGTCGCAGTTGTTTAGGATCAACAAGGTAAGCATGTGAATGTGCTTTGAGAATACCAAGCACTACATACACAGTACTACAACCAGATTCCTGCATTATCATCACGGCGATCTCAAGAAATGAAGGAGTCCTGTCTAAAGCCAAGAAATAAAGTGCCAACAAAGAACTCTAAAGAGAAAAATGAAGTTCCTGGGATTAGACAGTTTGGGAAAGGAAAGTTGAGGTTTTTATCTATTTATCCTTAAAAAAAAATTCTTAGCTATTCTCTATGTTCTTGTTTTTGTTTTTTTTTGGAGAGCATGTTAGGGATTGAATTGTATCCTCCACAAATATGTGTTGTAAATCCTAACCCCTATACCTGTGGTTTGGAGCCCTGGTGGTGCAGTGGTTAAGCGTTCTTTAGGTGCAATAAACTAGGCCATACAAGAACCGGAAACAAGATTGAATCTCTACAAGGATTGCTCTCCACAGTACAGGCAAAACCAAATTTGCCCTATGTAACTATTTCCAGGTCCACATGTGGCATAAGGAGCCCTGGTAGCGTAGTGGTTAAGAGCTCAGCTGCTAACCAAAAGCTTGGCAGTTCAAATCCACTAGCCGCTCCTTGGAAACCCTATGGGGCAGTTCTACTTTGCCCTATAGGGTCGCTATGAGTCAGAATCCACTCAACAGCAATGGGTTTACACCCGTGGTTATAATCTCGTTTGGCAATGAGTTTTCTTTCTATGTTAATGAGGCAGTAGAAGTATAGGGTGTGTTTTAAATCAATCTCTTTTGAGATTTAAAAGAGCAGATTAAGCAAGCAAGCACAAATGGAAGGGAAGATACCTACCACATGGTTGCTGAGGAACCTAGGAACAGAAGCTGAAAAGAGACAAGGACCTTCCCCTAGAGTGGAAAAGACAGAGAGAGAGCCTTCCCCTAAAACTGGCACCCTGAATTCAGACATCTAGCCTCCTAAACTGTGAGAAAATAAATTTCTGTTTGTTAAAGCCACCCACTTCTGGTATTTCTTTTATAGCAGCACTAGATAACTAAGAACAGAATGTTAAAATTTTAAATGAAAGCATGAGTAATATTTTTCAGTGTTGGTTTCCCAGACTGTGAGGTTGGTCACCATTGGAATGGTTCATAAGTGAAGCTGTGGGATCTGCTTCTATGGAAGATTTTTTAAAAAGAGTATACAAAACATAAAGTTACCATATAACCCAGCAATTCCATTCCTAGGCATATACCCAAAATAAATGGAAACATATGTCCACACAAAAACTTGTATGTGAATGTTTATAGCAGCATTATTCATAATAACCAAAAGGTAGAAACAATCCAAATGTCCATCAACTGATGAATGGATAAACAAAATGTAGTATATTCATACGATGGAATATTAGCTGTCCATAAGAAGGAATGAAGTACTGATATATGCTACCACATCGATAAACCTTGAAAACATGTAGAGTGAAAGAAGCCAGTCACAAACGACCACATATATCATTTCATTCATATAAAATGTCCAGAGCAAGGAAATCAATATATAGAGAGTAGATGAGTGGTTGCCTAGGGCTTGGAGGCACTTGGCTGAGGGAATAGGGAACTGGTAGCTAAAGGATACAGGGATCCTTTTTGAGGTGATGAAAAATGTTCTAAAATTGACTATGGTTGCATGTATCTGTGAATACACTAAAAATCATTGAATTGTGCACTTTAAATGGTATATGAACTATATCTCAGTAAAGGTATTGTTTAAAAAAAAATGCATAGATGATTTGTGTGCTCAGGCCAGAGGGATAAAGTGAGTGGACTAGGCGACATCTCCTGGTTCCTTCCAGCTAAAGTCAATAGTTACTGTTTATTGAGCACTTACAATGTGTGCCAGGCACTATGCTAATGATTTGACATGTAATAATCACAGCAATTCGATGAGGTGGAAACTATTATTGCTCCATTTTATGAATGAAAAAACTGAGACTCATAGAGGGTAAGTTGCTTGCCTATTGTTACAGAGCTTGAGAGTGATAGAAGTAGAATTCAAAACTACGCATGTCTCTTCCGCTCGAAATCTCTAATAGTATACAGTTGTCCCTCCCAGTGTATGCTTCCATGACTCTGAACAGGCTGAATTTCAGAAAATCGGCACTTTGCCAAATTTTTCAGGGAGGAAAGAGAACACATAGAAAGAACTATAGCTTTTGTTCCCTTTTAAACAAGAAAAAGAAAAAAAAAGCTTATTATTTCAATGACTTAATTCATAGAGAATGTATCATTGAGACAGTTTAGTATGATAGAGGCCTGGCTTTGCCACTCACTAGCTGAGGGATCAGAGGAAGTTCTTTATCTTTTCTGAGCCTTGTGTCACTCATTTGTAAAATGGATAAAATAGGACCATTTTCACAGGGTAAGGTAAAGGTAAGGAGCCCTGGTAGCACACACAGTTAAGTGCTTGGCTGCTAACTGAAAGGTTGGTGGTGAAACCCACCCGGCAGCTCCACAAGAGAAAGACCTAGTGATCTGCTTCTGTAAAGATTACAGCCAAGAAAACCCTATGGTACATTTCTACTCTGTCACATGGAGTCACTATGACTCGGAATCGACTTGACTGCACCCAGTAACAGCTACATAGTAAAGGTAAAATTAGGAAAAAGATTTTCCTTCAGGAAACCTTCTCTAACACTTCCAGGCTGGGCTAAATTCTCTCTCTAATTGCCTTTGTTGTTTAAAATATCACTTTGTACTGAATGTACCAGCTGATCTGTCCTTCTCCCTTCCACTCATCTGTGACCTTCTGACTGGGAGGAACCATGATTTATTCATTCTTGCATCCCCAGAACTTAGCACTGTGCCTGATCCTGGTGCTTAATAAATACAGTTGAACTAGACATACTTTGAGACCCATAAAACATTTTACAAATGTAATCGTAGTATTTATTGAGTACCAGAACTGTTCTTAGTATTTGACATATGGTCTATCATTTGATCCCCGCAACGACCTCTGAGATTGGCACTATTCTTAGCTACATTTTACAAATGAAGAAATGGGGGCAAAGAGATTAAGGAACTTGCCCGGGGTCACATAACTTGCAAGTGTAAAGCCAGGATTCAAACCTGGGCATTTGTCTTCAAAGCCCATT